AGCAGAAGGAGATGAAATCTATTCTAATAAAAATTGGTCAGCAAATGCTTACCGAAAGTAAAACATTGACAGAATGGATTAATTCCCAAAAAAAATTATATGATGGGTTGCCATGCAAACTACAAAATATTCTTTCAGCGGATGTTACTGAAGCATATAGAAATAAATGCGAGTTTACAGTTGGTGATTATTTCTTATAGATTTATATGAGGATATAAAAATTTAACCAAGTTTAATTTACATTTTTCTTTCTTATTACAGGTAAAGACAGCGAACAGAGCAAAATTATGATTGGTTTCAGACTCTCAACTTATGCTTCAGGTTCTACAGCAGTTGGACCTATTGATGATCTTTGTCACATTCCAAAAAATATGAAAATTGCTATAAAGGTAAAATTTAATTTTTAATTTTTTGTTTAATTTAATTTTAAATGTGATAGAGATGAAGATAGATTTAAGATTTAAAAAAAATTTGTATGTTATATTTCAGATATTGGAAACATTTATACGTGAATCAAACTTAGAACCTTTTAATCCAGTTGATCATAGTGGATATTGGAGGCAAGTTACTGCTCGAACCACTCGTGCCAATCATCTGATGTTGATAGTCGGAATACATCCTCAGACCCTAAATAATAATGAATTAGATATGTTAAAATCACAGCTGAAAATATTTTTCGAAACTGGAAAAGGTGTTGATGCACATGTTACTTCATTGTATTTTCAAACAATAGATAAGAAGTAAGTATATTATATATTTTTAATATACAGAAATATTACATATTTTTAATTTACAGAAGTATAGGTGGTGAAAGTAGTGATACCTTATATCATATTAATGGAACAGAATATATAGAAGAAACGTTACTCGGAATGAAGTTCCGAGTTTCACCTCAAGCATTTTTTCAAGTCAATACATTAGGAGCAGAAGTCCTATACAAGGCGGCAATTGATCTTGCTGAACCCACGATGGATACGACGCTACTTGACGTATGTTGCGGTACTGGAACTATAGGTCTCTGCTTTTCGAAGGTATAATAAATTCAAGCAATTAATTATCATTACATTATTTCCGAAAAGATATTACAATGTTCATTGTTATAGTATTGCGGCGAAGTGTTAGGAGTGGAAATTATTCCTGACGCTATACAAGACGCGAAAGAAAACGCTATCAAGAATGAAATTAAGAATTGCGAATTTTTTGTTGGGAAGGCGGAAGACATTTTATTGCCTGTTATTCAGAGAACAACGAAATCCAATATCACTGCTATTGTGGACCCTCCACGAGCTGGCTTGCGTAAGTTACATTATACATAAATAATATTTACACGATATTATAAGGAAATAGTATAACTTACCTGTATATTTTTCTAGATCAAAAGGCTCTACTGACACTGCGTAAGTCAAAAAAGTTGAATAGACTGGTGTACATATCATGTGATCCTCGTGCTGCCATGAGAAATTTAATTGACTTAGCACGACCTAGTTCCAAGCAATATCTTGGTGAACCTTTGGTACCGATAAAGGCTATTGCAGTTGACATGTTTCCTCATACTAAGCATTGCGAATTAATATTATGCCTTGAAAGGCTATCGAAGGCGATGAAATGAAACAAATAAATCATTAAAAAAACAGTAAAAAACATTTAAACATATTTACATTGTTCTTCCATTGTATACATACATATATAATATGTATATATTTATACAGAGTGAATATTAAGTCACTCTAAGAAAAAAATTTTAAGGAGTGATTTCTTACACAAATTCAAGATGAAAATCTTGAAAATTTCAAAAACGTCTGAGTTATTTTGATGAAATTTCAAACATACAAAATTTCATCAAAATAACGAATGATTTTCGAAATCTTTCGAAAAAATGAAATTTTTCCTTAAATTTTAATATCTTTGAAACTATGCCTTTGAAACTATTTCGAACATATGATCATATATGATCATATGAAGTTTTTGTCTTGAATTTGTGTGAGGAATCATACCTTAAAATTTTTAGAATGCTTAGTATTCATCTTGTGTATGTATATTAAAGTTTTTTTCAGAAAGTGGACACAAATAGAAAATTGACAAATTTTATCAACTTTACATTTATGACAAAAAGGAACAATTTTACTTTTTTTTTTAAAAGAAATGTCAATAATAATGCTTATCCATCTCCTTGAATATGTTATGTAATTTATATCTGTGAATATTTTATTTAATATTATAATAATAACGATAATGTAATTTAAAATGAATATAGTTTTAAAAGAATTCAAATATTTCTATGTTAACAAAGAAAAAAGAACAAAGCTCATTAATTGCTGTAGTAAAAAAAACAAAAGACAAATAAAATACATTTATTATCTAATAAGAGAATATACATATGTTTCGACTAAACTTCTTCATTAGTTTCCGACATTGATTTTTCATCAAATATTGTAATAAGAAAAGAAAGTAAGATGAGACTGAAAAATAATTGGACACTTCTAATTTTGATGCTTTCATATACAAAAAATTATCGTAAGTTTTAATTTTACATTTTTTTTGCAATTGCTCTTTTTTTCTTAACAATTCTTTATTATTTATTATTTGGCATTTCAGACTTAAGATTTAACATTATTCTTTTCTATATTTTTGGATTTAACAAAATTTCCGCTATGGAACGATAAATTTATCACAAAAATTTTTATATTTTGACATTTTATTTTCCATATTTTTGTCATTTGTTTAGTTCTGACTTGGCTCTCATTGTCAGATTTATAATTTATTCAATATATTTTAATGATATATTTTAATGACGCAATATCATTTTCTCTTAATTATTTTTTCTTATTATATTATTTATAATTGGTGAAGAAGACTCAGTGTTAGTCGAAATATGTATATATTTTCTTATTAGACAATAAATATTAATTAATTATTCTAACATCTATTTTGCTCGTTTTTAGCAGTTTTTTTTATTATTTATGTAGATTATTTGATATTTGAATAAATTTCATTTAAATGATTTATTGTAATATTTAAATATAATGTGAAATATATATATATATA